TACTCAGACACTATACGTCAAAACACGTGTTTGTGTTTTTTCATGTCGTCTATCGCCTTTGCCCGGCATAATTTGTGTACTTCTCTCGTGATACGTGCCTATTGGCACCACTTGCAATATATTGCATCGCCTTCAATATGCACTGTACACGTTCGTGCCTTTGAGAATATACTGCTGTGTCAGACTGGCAGTGTGACGCTGTAGACTGGCAGTGTGACGCTGTAGTAGTGATTTTAAATGTTAAATATAGTAATGCCAGAGCGACAGCCCGAGAAGGCCAATATAACTCTCGGAGTCCAGACACAAACCTCCGCCATGAGAGTAGAGTCAGTTTGAACCATAGAGCGGTAAAAGCCAAATTTGTCCCTTGTTTTTCAAATTTGGTATCGATATCTCTAAAATATATTAGGTTGTTTTCATTTCTTGGGTCTCAGACATTCTTCTACATACCTACATATTTACTTCAAATTTCAGGTTAGACTCTCTGTCCAAAAGCTTTTATTTTGAAGCCAATGATTCCGAAGTTGAGGTTTTAAGAAATGAAATTCCAAATCTATAATTATATGTTTTTGTAAGCTTTTAACTTCAGATATTGTCGTAATATATATAGATGTCGTAAACTCAGGACTATTCCACAAAAATATTCCTCGAACCAATACTTGTCTACAATATTTACGACAACTCTTTTTGTAACATTATTTATTGTATCTCCATTTTCTCTCCTCCTGTGTATATCCACGTGCAGTACGAATTGTCGCATCCAGCAATATAGGTAAAAACGCAACCCGACACATTCGTAGCTTTCTTTCCACCGTCAAAATGGTTAGTAAGCTTACAAATCGTTTGTGTGTGGAAACTAGTGTAGTTGGTTTGTCAAGCTTGGCATATTGTTAGCGTGCTGGCGTGTCAAGAAAGTGATAGAATACACACATACATATATACATTCCTGATTTGACCGAGAGATGTTAAAATGTTAAAACTCTATATACGTGCATCAGAAACTGGCGAAGAATGGTGTATCCGTACAGAGATAGTATAGAAGTGGTCTAAGACAATCTCCCCAGGTGTCTCAAATAGGTCAGCATTGTTCAGTATTAGGAACAGCATTGACAAGACAAGGGACATGAAATAGTATGCAGGAGAAAGAGCGCTTTCATCGAGGGTCTGGCGACATGCACAGCAACTTCCATTTCGCAACCATAGCACAACAATATTCGGAATTATATATCAGAAGAATCAATAACTGTCATTCATCTGCATCACAACATTCATGTCAGCAGTGACGTCTCACGATGGCGATTACAGTGTAAATACTAAATCGGCTGTACGCGAAGTATCGCATTTCAGCATCTTATACACGCATATGCAGGCCGCGGCACGTACAAATGTATGTGACAGTCTCGGAACTCATCGTATCCGCTGGCTAATATGGGTGAAAGACCATACTTCCAAATACACGATAAGATATCCTTTTTTTGCGAAAACCAGATGCATTGGAGCTTGATTCGTCATACACAAGTCTTGCCCTAGTGCATTGCAACATAAGTAGACTATTTTCGGACAAATTTCCCACAACAGCTGTCTCACTTTATATCAATCTGTTGTCCAATATAAATTCAGGGTTCCCTAGTCATCCCTGAGAACTTTCACCACATTTTGCGTCTTCTGAATACCAACGTTGACGGTAAGACGAAGATTGTCTTCGCCTTAACTTCGATCCGTGGTCTCGGTCGCCGATATGCCACTCTTGTGTGCAAGAAAGCCGATGTACCGCTAACCAAGCGTGCCGGTGAGCTGAACGATGCCGAGATTGAGCGAATCGTGACCATCATGCAGAACCCTCGTCAGGTATCAAATTCGGTGTTTGTACCTTGAATGAGTGTATTTTTAAAGCTATAGAGAAAGCACTGTACCGCATTTTTTGCACTTGCGCCGTAGTGGATTGTGTGGAGTTGATCTTTTAAAAGTTTATCGGAACGACCGTCCACCTGCAGATGCATGGTTTATGTATGTAAGGATGTCTACACAAGATTTACCTACATTATCTGAAGTATTCTGAAGAATGTCTACGCTGAACATATATAAATCATGCACGTCTCCAGATATATTGCTTTCACGAAATATAAATATCGCATCATTATACGTGGTAAATGTACTAATGTTTACTAATTGTATTTGTATGCTACAGTACAAAATCCCAGACTATTTCCTGAATAGACAGAAGGATATTAAGGACGGTAAGTACTCACAGTTGCTAGCCAATAACTTGGATAACAAGCTTCGTGAGGACATCGAGCGTATGCGTAAGATGCGTATCCACAGAGGTCTTCGTCACTGGTGGGGCATCCGTGTGCGTGGTCAGCACACAAAGACCACCGGTCGCCGTGGACGCACCGTTGGTATCGCCGGCAAGAAATAAATTTATTATACTTAGTAGGTAAGTCCAACGATAGTATCAGGTGATTCTAGCCGGACGAAGTTTACTGCGTTATGTTGTGATGTCTACACAAGATTTACCTACATTATCTGATATATTTTGAAGAATGTCTATGCTGAACATACGCCAAATGGTAGCGTAGCTATCCATTTTACTTGACTTTCGCTCATTTTGTGCTTGACTGCGTTTGTGTTTTGCCTTTTTCTTAATGGTTTGTTATTGCTTCCCTTTTAACTTCAGGTTTGTCGAAATGTGCAGACCATAATAAATAATAAATTGCTTAAGGTGGTCACCCCAGGAAGCTCGTGGAATGCAATTAACCGGTGTGGTGTTACGGTTCTTATTGTGTTTTTTTTTGTACGTTTTTCAATATTAACATGTGTTTTTATAAAGTATCATAGTTTTCAACAACGCTACATTGACGGTCGACCTTAAGAGTTGCCAATCTCATAAGGTCAACATTACAAATACAAGTATTTGGTAGCTATACTAATAGATATATGATCCTCAAATTCTCATAGCGTTATGCGCAGCGAGTGGATTGGTATCGAAATTGTTTTAACAAATATGTGATATATTGGCATGTGGCTCACCTTTATTATAGTACTAATGTGAAGAATCTTAAATTAATAATAAATGATCATTGGAATATATCTGATTAATCAATTCGGTATGAATTTATATTTTATTTTTCAGTCCTTTTTGTGGTAAGTGTAATTTAACTGTTTTTACATCATGGTTTTCTAAATTGTGTTGTCAGGACATCCATTT